TGCTAAATATTTAAATGAATGAAACTTTAAAAACTATTCATCTATCAAGACTTCTACTTTTGAAGAGATGATGCATAGGAAACATTTAAAGAAAGCTCAGAATTCATCTACCAATGAGGAGCTTCAGAGATTACATATAATTCTTCACTTTAATGCAGCAGTAACGCTACTTCAAGAACATAATGTTTGAAGGAGAATAAAAATCAGAATCAAAACTGTCCTTTCAAAGTGTGAAAATCTGTTATCTGAGGATATTTTTATAAGCTCTCATTACACTAATCTCCAAGAGTCATGTATCAACATAACTAACTTCAAATAAGTTCCCACCACAAGACCAGGAAAACCGTGGATTCCTCGGATCTAATCCTATCTTACATATTTGTGGACTGACCTTGAAAGGAGAGTAAATTTACCTCTACAAAGTTGGGGAGACGGCAGCAATTTACTTTAAAATACATTTGAAAAAGACAAATCACTATTCCATAGATATTGAAAGATAAAACCATTTTTTAAAAGCAATGAAGTGACATTTAATTCCCCCCCATGAAGGAAAAAATATCACAAATGATGGGAAGAGTAGGAGGAACAAACTGAAAAACTAATTTGAACTATGTCAATATTTAGATTTCTTTCTGATATGAACATTTACAACTATTAAATGCTACAACCTAAGTCTCCCAGAGATATAAATTTTAAAAGTTTAATTCATCCTCTTCCCAGATATTTGATGCTTTCTGGAGGTAGGTCTGAGTGTGCCATTTAAAACAAGTCTTGCAACATTTCTTAGAAACAAAGCAAGATGTTCTCTAAATAGACGAACTATTATGCTGAGTAAATATGCCAAGAGGATTTCAAATGAGTACCATGGGGACCGCAGAGATAATACAAAGTGTCCAAGAAGACATTAAAAAAAATTGACAGTGAAATCATAAATCATGTGCTTCTATGTCATGAGAATCACTCCAAGCAAACTTAAGGTTTGTGGGCACAGTGCACGTTGCCACCTAATGCAAAGACAGGACGTGGTGGAGACTTCCAAGGAATGATTTCCTCTGGAGAAATTACTGTTAACACAGGAAAAACTAGATGAGCCCGTGTTCATTCCCTCAAATAAAATATACCAAGGTTATTCCTTGAAAAGTGCATTTTTCTCATCCTTTGGTCCAGACATTATGGAAATCTTTTGGGAGGTGCAATCTGAAGAAATATCCTTATGAAACAAAATAATTTTAAATTTGAAAAGGGTCTCCAAATTCTCCAGTTGAATGGTTCTTAATCTCTTTGGGGTCAAAGATTTCTCTGAGAACTGCTGAAAGGGATACACTCTCCTCAGCCATGGACATAGCCCATGTGCACGCATTTGACCTCTATGGGTCCTAAGTAAGAACATGTGTGTGTTGTTCATTTTAAAAAAGAGGAAATTGAGTCCCCCAAAGGTTCAGTGATTTGTCCAAGGTCACACAGCCAGGTCATGTCCAGCTGGTACTCCAGCAACCCAGTATTCCTGACTTCCATTGGGATGTTTTGCCCATACATGGCTGTGATTTTCTGTATCCGTAACACTCAACAGTCACTCATGTTACTGTTTGAATTAGGGAAATCAAATTAGTGATAGAAACACTCAGCTTCTTCACAAACATGAAAAAAACAGTGTCCTAAGCCTTCTAGCTTAAGTTGTTCTGGAACTTCTACACAGATAACGCTCCTGGAGGATGCTGGTTGGAAATGTGAAGGCTCCCAGGCCCCGTCCCCACGAGCTGAGATTCAGCGCTTCTGCAGACATACATTTACAGCTGTTTCTTAAAGAAGTTGCTAGAATGCTGTGACTGGCTGGTCCTCAAATGATATCCTACAAACTCTGATTTAAAGCAGTGGTTTTCAGAGTTTTCTTTTTTTAACATGAGCTCAATTCTCTTTTCAAGACAAGTATCACTTGGACACCCACGTGTAGAAAGAAAAACCAAGTGGTTTGATGGGCTTTAGAAGCCAGCTTCAAAACCAGATCCAGAGAAGATAGCCCTGGCCATGGGACCAGGAAGTGGGTCTCAGTTTCCTCATTTATAAAACAGTTTGTTTAGATTTTCTCTAAATTCCCTTCCAGCTCCAGTATCCTATGATCCCGCAAACACCATTCCTGCTACTGCCACTATGAATAGCTAAGATTTCTCAGACACCTGCCTTATTCCAGGCTTTGTTCTATTAAATTATTTAATACTCAGTACTTGCCCCACTCTGTAAGGTTAAGTACTATCAATCCTTCCATTGTACTGATGAGGAAACTGAGGCACAAAGGGGCTATGTGACAATGACTCATAATACATTTATATGTCCTTTCTCTTCTTTATCCTCTACCACATCATTGGGAAGTAATTGAGATTCGGAAAGGTCATTATTTTCCAAGGTTAAAGAACTGGGCTTTAAACTCAGGTCTTCCAGATTCCAAAATCCATTCTTTTTAATCAAAAAATTAGCACAGATTGGGCCCTGTATTATACCATGGCATCTTTTTAATGGGATTTTCTCTAAATTCCCAACAACTTATATGTTGTTATTGTGGCACTAGTAATACACATGTCCATATTTTTATGAAGATGGCTTGCCTCACAAACTAGATTATAAATGCTCTGAGCTCAGGGCCTTTTTTCTTGCTCTATGAAATACAGGCTGTGAATTATGTCGGTCTTCTTTTATTCAATTAGCAGTGATCTTCCTATGTTTTATTAACTCAACTATTTTTTCCAAGTGATTTATTAAAAAATGTAATCCAAGGAAAATACATGCATTTCGCTAAAGCAGCTCTCCAAATTAAATGGCATTCCCCTGAGTCAATGTTGGAAGGAGGAGAAACCCTTATTTTCAGCTTAATGATCTGACATTTGCCCTTGGAGTGATGAACTATATTTTAGCGTCAATGTAAATAAATATCCCTTTCCTGGCACTTCTCTGCTTTCCCATCTTATTAATGCTTCTTGCCATTTTTCACCGTATCCGATCAATAGGCGACTAGCTCATAAGGAGCAGAATGGGCAAAGACAAGAATAGGAAATCTTGGAAGGTACTTATAAAACCCACTTGTATCACTCGAAAAATCTGGTTGGACATTTCACAGGAAGTACGATTATACTAATAAGTAGTATCCCTTAAACACTTAACAAATAATATCACCAAGTATCCTGTTAATCTTGGAGATGCTCAGTCTGGTGTCAGATTCAGCATCACCTTCCAATGATGCTTCACTGCCCACATGTGGGAAATTTTCTCCCTGGGTCCACTGCAGGTCTTCCCAGCTCCTCCCACGATTAAACAAGCAATTCCACGAGTGCTGTAATTTCCCAGGGACCTACTTTAAACATAATGTGGAGATTCATATTAACCTGACATCCTCTTAAACCTGTACAGCACAGGTATAACGAGTCACAAGAAGATGTGTGATTAAATTAAGGTCAAGACATTTTAGTCTCTAAACTTGGACAGAACAGACCCTCTAGAGAACGATGGTTCTCAAGTCTCCTGTCAGAAATCTGTTAAAAATGTACATGCTTGGAGCCCTGTCTCAGATGTATCAAAGCGTTTTCTTGGTGTACAGCCCAGGCACCTGTGATTTACTGAACAGCACAGGTGATTTTGATGCTCACCCATGTGAAACATCACTTCTCCACTCAAACACTTAATGAAGGCGTATTACTAATACACACAAAGTTAGACTATAAGTACATATTGGGGTGGGTTTTTTTTTTTTGGTATTGTTTCTTCGGTCCCAAACTAACTAGCAAATTGAGAAAAAATGATCATGATTTACATTTAAAATAAATACATTCCCCTTATACTTATCCCTATACACAACACCTAACTGGGTGTACAGCAGGCAAATATTCCATTACCAATCCCTTAAGTGAGACATGCTGATACATCTTTAGCTGCTACAATAAAGAATGCTTTTAAACCTGGACTTTCTAGGTGTTCTAAGGAATCTGCATAAATGTGTGTGCTTCTAATTCTTCAACCATAGCATTGAACTTTTGTTTTGAAGTTTTGTTATGAACCCAAAACAAGAACACAGAAGATAAATAGACCCCCCTTCACTCCATTTTCTATGATCTCAATAAGCACATGGTTCTTCCTTTCCTCCACCTTGTAACTCTCATTTCTTCCCTGTTTTGACATCACCTCTGTTCTCCAGTCAATATTCAAATAACTGTGCATCAGCCTAACTGTGCTTATTTAGAATTAGGAACTCGTAAAAATGCTTCTCAAGTTTTGTTCATCCTGAAACCTCACAGAGTACGAACAAGCATGTAAAATCTCCCCTTGCTCGTGAGAGTTGGGAGGATGCGTTCCAGATGTGTTATGTCCTCTCTGGGGATTGGATCTTGAGAGAAAGCATCTGGAGAAGCCTGGCGCGGAGCTGGGCGATGAAGGGGCACAGCAGTGCAATAGCTTGTGCTGAAAGCGGAGCTCCCATGTGACAAATGGGGGTGAGTCTGTTCAACATTGGGACAATGAATTTACTCCACTGACTATGTTTGCCGAAGGAGCAAATGCCCCCTCATACACACACACACGACAGGGCCTTCATGCTGATGGAAAGGGGAGAACGGCCATCTCAGCTCTGACGTGAGGTTTGCTGGGGAAGAGTAGGGAGGCGTGTGGAAGGGAAATAAAACGTGTTGGGGAACCCACTAGAGAGGTACAGAGGAACAAGCTGGAGCTGACCCATCAGCACGCAGCCCAGTCTCCGGGTCCTTCACTAACTGGGAAGGAGGAAAAAGACCAGCAAAGAAACAGTCCCTGTGGTGGACAGCAATGGGTCGATTTTACCAGTGAATTCTCCATGAGCTGAAAAATCTCTCCCTACCAACCCTTTGCAACAACTAGTGATCCCTTTCCTTGTCTTAGGAAAACAAACAGACAAACAGTAACTTGGAGCAATAGAAACCTAAATGTTTGACCACCAAGCCTAAAAAAAAGAGTCCCGGGTGCAGAAAAGCATCCCTACTTACCAATTTCGTGACGTCTTTTACATTATTAGTCACACGATTCCCGCAGATCCCTTTGGTCTTGACGAGGGGATTAAATAGAAGCAGTTGAAGATAAATGCAAGTGATAATCCAAGTCTAAATGAAAACAGAAAAATTTCTCAATGACCATCAGCTGAAAATCTGTAATCGTTCAAGTTATGAATGTCTTATGCTTTGATGTGCAAAACACCATCTCCTGTGTGTGTCTGTTTAAAGCTATTGGCTTAAATACAATTAAGGGCTAAACATTCAAACAACACTTACCACATTTCTCAGTTAAAATTATACTTGAGTTATTCTTCCAAGTACATTATTGTTAACTTGGTCAAAAGCTTTCTGCAACTAATTTTCTAATGGCACTCAGGAATGAACTTGTAGTAACATGTAAAGGACTTCTCACTTAGAGTGTCTTCTAAAAAACCAGGGAATGCATAAAATTCGTACCTTAAGGCACCAAGAGAAACTTTCTCTTTCCACTTTAAACACAGACTGTTTGGCAAGGGGCAGGTAGTGCCCCTCAGCAGTGCTGTAATCCAACAGTCTGCACGAGGACACCAAGTTAAAGTGAGGCAGAGAGGTGTATTTTTGGATCTAAGACAGAATTTAACCCAATTTGTGAGACATCAAATGAATTAATGTTTTGAAGTACAACTTTTTTACCACTTAATAAGGAAAATATTTCTTTCTTTTCTTTTTTTTTTTTTGGCCAGGGCCAGGTTTGAACCCACCACCTCCCATATATGGGGCTGGCGCCCTACTCCTTGAGTCACAGGCACCACCCAGGAAAATATTTCTTTAGCCCATAGGAAGACATTCTTGAATACCAGCAGAAGTAATCTGTCTCTGTCTCTCTCTCTCTCACACACACATATACCCCCTTCTCGGAAAATAATGCCACCGACGATAAATTACAGTTATTTTTATGTATCACTTATTTTTCCTTATTATACTATAATTTGATTTTTAAGAACTTGGGCATCTTCCCCCAAATATTGGCTTAATAAACCTCCACTGATTGAAATCTTGAAAGAAAATGAACTTGGGCATCATATTTATTTTATCAGTATCTTTCCAACGTTACAACACATAACACAGTGCCTTGCCTATAAAAAAAAAGTCTTAATAAATACTTTCTGAATGAATCAATTGCCAAGATAAAAATATGCCCTAATGTTCCAATTTAATAACCATTTACTGAGCATGCATTATGAGACAGAGACAGTGCCAGTCATTAGGGAAACAAAGAGGTCATGAAGATGCCCTTGAAACTCAGTGGCAGGTAAATAAATAACACCCACACCATGTGATAATAAACACTCTAGATAGAGAAGGAACCAATTAATCAATTAAACTGGGGGGGCAGAGCCTGTAGCAGGAAGACAGTGCCAATAAAAGCCAGAGAGAAAATGTGACTCTGGCTGGATTCTGAAGGACAAGGAAGAGTTTGCAAGAAGATGAGGGAAACATGACAAAAACATGCAGATGTGAAGATTTCTTATATGTGAGATTTATTTCATGAGCTAACATTCTCCTATAAAATCTTAAAATCACAAAAGCCCAGATGCACGTAGCTAGACATCTTCCCTATTTCTATAACTAGCCACATGTTAAAAGACATTCAATTGATCAATCACTTTTTTTTATTATTGTTGGGGGTTCATTGAGGGTACACAGAACCCTCAATGAACCCCATGAACACCGATGGTTTTTGTGAGAATAAGGACCCTATTATATTTGTGTCCCACTCCCCAAAGTGTACCACACCCCTTGACCCACCACCACCTTCCTCCTCCCCTTTCTCAGCTATCCCCATCCCCCCACCCCCCACTCTGTACTAGGACCTTGTGAGTACATAGGATTCTTGCTTCTCCATTCTTGTGATGCTTTACTAAGAATAATGTGTTCCACATCCATCCAGGTTAATACAAAGGATGTAGAGTCTCCATCTTTTTTGTGGCTGAATAGTATTCCATGATATACCTACACAAAGCTTGTTACTCTCAATTCATATCTTCATGCTAACTAAATATTACACTGGACCAAATGACAATTATCAGTTGCCAAAATCTCCAAGACTACAGTGCTACCTGTGTGGATATAGTGACTTGTAAAGAAAATTAAAGCCCTTTCATTACCATTTCATTATGGTCTATTTTAGCAGCAATCCTGTATAATTTAATTTAAGGCTACTTTAAGTGCTATGTGATCACACTCTTCATAGTACTGTCTCCCAGAGAAGACCAAATTGGGTAAATAATTTCTGAAAGAGGAATTCCTCTTTTTGGACAATCCCAACATAGAAAATCTCCTCTAATAGCAAAGTCTTCCTTCACATGTGTGAATATAATTTCCTAAACTCCACCTTTCTTTTACATTGTCACTGCTAACACATGACTTCACCCTCCTTGGAATGTATTTTTCCAACATCCCCTTTCCTGATATGATTTGACAACTCTAAGAATCTCTGTGATGGACCAACGTCACTAACACCAAAGTTTATATTCTCGGCTCTAAGAAATCTAAAGGCAGACATTCTGTTACTGGTCATCATCAAACCTTACTCCTGGGATTGAATAAACACTAAAATAACAAAACATTTGTTCACTCAACAAACATTCCTCAACATGTTTAGTATGTGCCAGATCTTGTTCTAGATGTCGGGGTTATATAATGGAAAGAAAAACAAATGCCCCTGCCCTCATAAGGCCTACTGTCCAGTGAGGATAAGACTAACCATATTCAACAAACAGAAGGAACTAACTAGATTATATCTAATGCCAAAAGGTGTTAGAGGCTATCCCATGAGTTTGAGGCTGCAGTAGGCTATGATTATGTCACTGCACTGGGCCTGGGTGTCAATCAATGAGACTTCATCTCTACAGAAGGAAAAATCAGAAAATGAAGTTAAGGAAACTGGAATCATGTCTACTCTGCTCCACTGGCAGCGGCGATCCTGGTTCAGACTGACATTACACTAGTGAATCACAAGAGGCATCAGTGAGCACTAAACGTATTCCACTACTGAACTCTGAGGAAGAGCACAGGATGGATAACAAACCAGCAGGTACAGCGCCAGCAGAGCAGACACCTCCCAACACCCAGGCTGTCCCTAGCATCAGAAAATCACTGCACACGTGGAGTGTGTGTGGCAGTGAGAGATGGCAGTGGGTAGTCAGGAATACGCAGCTTACCCCTTGTTAGCTGAGGAGCCTTTTCAGGGATGTGTCATGAGCTTCTACTCATTTTCCAAAGCAATTACCCACCCCCAGCAATACCAGTGTCAACAGTAAAGTATATAATCAGGGCTTGTTCTCTGCTATCTACTGACTGAAGCTGGATTCCCCTAGAGGAAGTATAGTGTACATCCTGAGTTCTTGAGTTCTTACTGCAAGGAAGATTATAGGGAGGGTCAAATCCCCAGGCATCTCTGAGTCTAGAGAAAAGCCACAGAATGAACCATTACTCCTTTCTTTCTAGATGGCAGTATGTATGGACACTGCTTAAAATGTTTAATAGGGTGATATTTGATGAGTGCCTCATGGAGAAGGCAACATTTTACCAAAGATTGGACAGAACCAAGGGAGTGATCCATTCAGGTAACTGTGGGAAAAGTATTGCATACTGAGAGGAAAGTTGGAGCCAAGGCCCTAAGGTCTATGTAAGGCCTCTCTCTCTTTTGAAGTCACAGCATGAGTGAACCAGGAAGGAGCAGGAGATGATGATGTCAGAGAGAATGGAGAGGCCACAGCATGTAGGATATTGAAGCCCACTGTCCAGATGTTGACTTGTACTATGGATAACATGGGACTTATTGCAGGATTTTGAACATTAGAAGGATAGGAATATTAAAAAGATAAATAAAATAAAATAGGATCACTCCAATTGCTGTAATGAAAACAGACTTCAGGGTAACAACAGGTAGAAAAAGAAACAGAAGGCCCTTCCTATGATCCAGTCAAAAAGAGTTACACCAGCATACTGATCGAAGTGGTTAGACTTGGTATATCTCTGAGGGTGGCACCAAGATCTCCTGACAGTCATGCTGTGACTTGAGAGAAAGAGTGAAAAGATGACTATGGGTAAAGTTTCCATCTTTTTAAAGGCTGCAAATATTCCATGGTATACATATACCACAATTTATTAATCCATTCATGGGTTGATGGGCACTTGGGCTTCTTCCATGACTGGCAATTATGAATTGAGCTGCAATGAACAATCTGGTGCAAATAGCTGGAACATATTCTTCTTAGTAAAGTACCTCAAGAATAGAAGAAAAAGTATCCAATGTGCTCAGTGCTATTATGAAACCAATTTATAATCACTCAGACTTTCACAAAAAAGATAAATCACAACTATAGCCCAAGATGAAGGAGGAAGAGAAGGGGAATGGAGGGGAGGGGGGAGATGTGATGGAGGGAAGGTAAACAGTGGAACCATTCCTATGGTTCATATTGCAAGGGTACATGTCAAATCTATTAAGTACAAAGTATAAATGTCTTAACACAATAATTAAGTAAATGAGGTGAAGGCAGAAAGAAAGAGAAGAAGGAAGGGAAGGGGAAGGGAAAGGAGGGGAAGAAGGGGAAGGGGAAGGAAAGGAAAGGAAGAAAAGAAAGGAAAGAAAGAAGAAAAGAAAAGAAAAAAAGAAAAGAAAAGAAAGATGACTATAGGGATTTTGGCTCAAACAACTGGAAGGATGGCCTTGTCATCAACTGATACAGGAGAGAATAGGGATGGAGAGGTCTGGGGGGCAGATCAAGAGTTAACTTTTGGGTTTGTGAAGCTTGGATTGTCTTTGAGATACTCCAATGATGATACCAGGTCAGGAAATTTAAGTCTGGATTTGGGAGGAAAGTTTAGGCTGTGGATACCGATAAGAAAGCTTGACATTCACGAATGGGATTTTAAGCAAAAGAGTGGATGAGGTCACCAAGGGAATGAGCATAAGTGGGAAAAAAGACCAAAGCCCCCAGCCATCCCACAGAGCTCTAATGCAAGAAGGATAGGGGAAAAAGTTTGAGCCCATAGAGTCTGCAAGGGAGAAGCCAGAGAATCATAATGAAACAAAGTTTTAAAAAGTACGTTAAGGAGAACAA